CGGGGGAAGCTCTGCCCGGCGACCAGCCCTGGCTTTTTCCATCCCTCAAAATCCTTGCATGACCGCCCTGCTCTTTATTACGGCCCCTCTGCAAATACCCTCGCTGGGGACTTCGTACTTGCTGCCAACTCACGTGCCAGCGTGCGGGATGGGGACAACGCTTGTTTTTCCCGAAGCATGGAAAAGCTGACTGGCCCCTTTAGGCCTTATTTACTTGAATCCCCTATCGGATTTGTCCGCTGTTGGGCCCAGGAGCGATGCCAGGGCTGACTGCCAGGGGCTCCCTTCCCCTGGGGAAGGAGTTTTCCCAGGTGGTGAATGCCATCGGGACGAACTTTGGGGGAAAAAAAAACCCTCATGCCAAGCCAGAAAATAATATAAACTGGAGCTCACAAAGCCCAGCCTTAACTCTGCTTTTATCTAACCCGCTTTTAAAAAGCTGCCGTCCTTATTCCGACTTGGCCTGATAGCGTTCGATGGGAACGTACGGAGCCCGATGTGCTGCCTGCAAAGCACGTTTGCTCCAAGGCCCCGCTAAGCGCCGGGTGCTTTTCCCCCTCTGCGCGGCTGCCCGGAGGTCTCCGTGCTGGGCCACCTCTCAGGAAAGAAAAACGGGAGATTTGCAGGTTTTTTTGCTGGGTGAGTATTTGGGCTTTTCTCACCCCACTGATGCCTGGGGAGGGATTTCCACCGAGAGCGGAGCCAGAGCCCCGACGCTGCGGGAAACCTCAGCTCATCCTCGAGAAAAGAGGTGTCCTCCTGGCTCCCATTTCCCGGAGGGGGAAAAGCTCAGTCTGCTGGGAAGGAGGAATAGGGGAGCAAAAGCAAGGAAACAGATCCCAAACGCTCGGGCTGCTCAGTCTCCATCTGGCTTAATAGCGAGTTTTTTTTTTTTTTTTTTTAAACCATATGGTTTAAAGCAAGCAAACACCACCAGCCTTCCCCTGCAACAGCAGTGCCCGTGCACAGATTTATGCCAGGGTCTGGTGGTTCCCCGTTAAATAGTCACCTGCTTTAAAGCCCACGGGAGATTGGCAATTCCCACCAAAAAAAAAAAAGTTTAAATAAACAAAATCAACCCATGCGTGCGATGCTTTATTTTTCATCCCGTTTACAATATTTTGTGGGGGGAGGAAGGAGCGTGGGGAAACTGTTACCCAGCCGGAAACCAGACATCCTGGCTTGCTTTATTCTCCACGTCGACACAGTATCTGCCGCAGAGAGACGCTTTGAGTCCTTTGGGGTCGCCAGGAAGAGAAGCAGCTGCTGCTAAAGCACCAAAAATGCACCAAACGCGGAGGGCACCGGTGACAGCAGGGTTTTGCAATTCAGCGCAGGCTCTGGAGGGAACCGGCCTACATTTTTGCAGGTAATGCTGATCATGATTTTCTATTCCTCTTCAAGCAGCCCGTGCTTCGCTGGAGGCTGTTTGATGGCGCAGCGGTGAAGCGCGAATGCTCCTGTGTGACTTTTCTGCAAGGCGGTTTCTGAACAGGGGCAGAAGCAGGTGGCTGAGACAAGGGGCTCCCCATAGGTACCACTGATCACCCAGCTCAACGAAGAGCATTTAATTAAATTTAATAGCCTCATTTCCTCTTGAAGTCGCCCGACGTAAAGACAGGCTTGCGGGGTCAGCTGGTGCCCGACGCGCAGGCAGATGCTGCATCTGGAAACGTCCCTCCGGCCTCAAACCACGCGGTCCTCCAAGCCCGAAGGCAACGCGAAGCGGCTCCAGGCAGCTCCGCGTCGGCCTCCCCTAAACACATTGCACTGTGCCCCGCGTTGCGTTAGGGCCCCAACGCAGGGGAAACCCCATCGTTAATCACCTGCGGATAATTGCTGCCTTTTTTCTTTCCTTTTTTTTTTAACGTGCAGAACGGGCTTAGTTCGTTCACCACCAGGTTGGGGAGCTGCTTCCATGCAGAACCGTCCTGCCAAGCCAGGGCCAGGCAGCAGGAGGACGGGATTTACATCTCTATGGGCAGTAACCGCACACCCGCTTTCTCCGGTAGGAATTGGATGGTGAGTCAAGGAGCTCGGAGGCTGGAGTGCAGAGGTTTGGGGTTTGCATGATGTTGAGCAGAAGCAGAAGTCTGTCGATTGAACACGAAGGAAAAGTTTCTGCCCCGCTGCCACCGCTTTGAGCCATTCACGGGCTTGTCGTGGGCGTTTTGTCCCGGCTAACTTCTGCGTTTCCTATTGCACAGTGCGAAAAAAAAAAAAAAAAAACAACCCCAGGCAAATGGGGGATTTGGGCCCTGCCGGAAACCTCACCTTTTCTGAAATGATCTTCTAGCACAACTGGTCCAATATCCCCCTATGTTTTGGATGCCGTGGCAAGATGCTCGGCGCGGGAGCGTGCCTCGCTCCTCCCGGAAACCAGCTCACGTCTCCGTCACCACCTTCGCTGGCCGAGTTGGGCCTTTCGCCGACTTTATCGAGTGCGA